AAATCTTAACTTTACTGTAGAGGCTGCATAAATTTTGATTTCAAAATTTCTCACATATATTAATAAGGGACACATTTTAAAAAAAAATGTTAAAGATTACGTACCGTTGTGGCGTGGATTTTGTAAGTGCGGTAAGGAACACAAGACTGTACTTAGATCTACTGCATATGTTAGATGCATCTTGTGAATCTCACTCTACACAAGTATTACTAACATGTCACAAACATTTCTCATCTATTATACGAAATTAGCATGGCATTTTTTCGATAACTGATAACATTTTACAATGTGTTTAGGCTAGAATCGAAAAAAGTCTCTTACTTGCACATACATCGTTGTAATATACAATATATTTGACTAAATCCTTTTCCGAAACATCGATGTCACTTACAGCATACAGTCCGTATATCTTGAGATTTGACACCTATCACAATTAAAAAGAGCAATGCTAACTAGTACGGGAAGGTCAATTTACCGAGACATTTAATTAAATTCTTTTTCTTAATGTTTTTATTGTATACGATGTTCCGCTCCCTTTTTACCTTAACCCGCGATGCACGATGGTACAGTGATGTAAATGCGATGGTACGATGACAAGATGGTAGAGTAAAATGAAAAGTAATTATTTATAAATTCAAGACCTTAAGTTTACTTAGATGTTTTGTTATCGTTATATGCCTGTTATGCCATGCACGTTCTTCATATTTTACATTCATTTTAAAGAAATATGATTTCTTGAAATTGTAGACCATTCTAATAACACAAAATACAGTTTTTCTTAACACCCCTCTTAATCACTAAACTAGTTTCAATCAATTTTTAATTTTATACTTAAGTTTCCGTAATTGAAATTTACTTCATTGAATAAACGAAATGTAACATTTTCGTAGTTCAAATACAATTACCTTTGTATGACCCTCTACCAGCATGTCCTTAACGGTAGCTATCGCCCCTGAAGTGCAATCCCCTGTGTCGTATGCTTTTTTCAGATTATGATGCACATCACTTACAAATATGGTATCTACCTCCCTTCCGTGCAGGTTACATGTGGCCCACAACCAGTCACGTTTTGCTTTCGTGTTCCAAACATGGGTAAAGCAGGGACCTTTCGTATTCCATTCTAAGAACTTGTCTTTGTCACAGCCGGGAACGTTATGATCGAACCCGGCAGTCCAAACGTACATTGCATAATGCTTACGTGCTGCGACCGCTGTGTCGTCACACGGTTCGGCTGTCACGTGATCTTTGGCTACCAAACCCATCATAGTTAACAGTTTAACGTTCGACGTAATCTAAACAAACGAAAAAATCTTTCTCCAGTAGTATAAAACTATTCACAAAAACATGTTCATCACAATAGATGGTATCACCAAACTTACACTGCAGCCTCAAACTTTTGGTTATTGTACTTTAGTAGTCTCTTGTGCAATTGTTAACGTTCTAATCATATGAAATCTTAATTGTTTGATATAGGTGTAATTTTGGGTATCACTTCAGGGGTATTAATATATACAAAATCTTCTCTTCAGGTTCGATCATATGTAGTTTATTGACAAATGTTTACATTATTTACAGTTCATCATATTCACAAAGTATACCGGTACATCTTGTAAATTATCAGTCTACAGTACTACATTGTACATTCACGTAATCATGTAAGCATGTGAGCAAGGTAGGCACTTAAATAATAAATAGTTACAATCCTTACCAAATGATGGAGATTCTTATAAGTCATATAAAGAGTGATCTCTCTTTTATATCATTCATAATAAATATACATTTTACCTGGAGGAGGTAAAATACCCAAACGAACTTATGGTTCAAATCCACAGCAATTTATACATCTCCCAATTATATCAATAACATAGTTCATAGCTAAGTTCGTTGTTCTTAATCATAGCAGTCCACAGTGCTTCCCTGTGCTTACATTTATTTATAACAATGCAAAAATTATTAAAATTCAATAATTCATCAAAGTACCTTATATTTATAAAACATTACTTTCATAGATAATTAAACATCAACTTACAGATCTGTAGGATCTTTAGCCCTTTTACACAATTAAGATATACGCCATCATCCACACAAATGAATCTCACCGAGTGCTGCTGTGAAGAACAATGCATCAATTATTATATACATGCAGATTAGTCAGATAAGTAAAAGATAAAATAATTAGAATAAAAAGTTGAAAGTAGTAGCCACCTTACTACCAACCAACGCGCTGAACGGAATGAAATCGAGATTCACGTGACATGTACAAATCCCGCCAAAGTCAAGGGGAAACAACTCTAACAGAAACAATATGGATAAAAACATACGAAAGCTGGGGAACATCTAAAAACACAGATTACCCGTAAAATACACCTTGTTACATAGGCGAACGTGACATCCGATATACAAGTAAAATGGTTTTCTGTGGTGAACATTTTAACGATATAAAGATATTTCATTTAACTATTTTCAACATTTTTTTTTTTTTTTTTTTTTTTTTTGGGGAGGGGGGGGAAATAAACGTTTGTATCAGGAATATAGCTGACAATAATCTATTAATATCGAAGAAGGTCTTTGGAAACTGGTGACCGTTGAAGACCGGAGAAGGTCGAACATAAAACAATTTTTAAGAAAATGATTAAATAGGCCTCCAATTTTATGAATAATTCCGAGCAAAAAATAAATAAAGTAAACACACAAGTTTACGCAGAAAATATCTCTATTTATTATGGCAGATGCCACTACGAATATTTTAATTTTGTAGATTTTTAGTATAAACCATAGGTGTTCGGCGCGTTGATTGGTCACTATCCCCGGGCCAACCCCCTCCCCCTCACCCACTCTACAACCCTCCTACCTCTCAAAACCATGTAAACTGTAGTATTTTTCATTTTAAACATGCTTTAATATTTGGTACATGCTTTTAATTCAATTACCTTCATCTCCCACAAAAAATAAAAAATATGATATAATATATATTTAGTAAAGGTATGCAACTCGCCGCTCATTTTTCAGCACTCATCTTAATATGAACTACATAACTCAAACATTTTTTCACAAATTTTCAATATCTTGGTACCAAATGGTAGGGAATTGATTACTCTTAAAGAAATTAAAACTGCCATTACATTCATTTCAAGTTTTAAGAAGATATGTTTTCTCGAAGACACCGCAAGTGTAACTCGACAGAGACCTGACCGCTGAGTTTTTGTCAAAATTACCCGACTAAACGGCAGTTTATTCGAAATAAATGAATATTTTTTTGTAATGCGCATATAAATATGATCAAATTATATTATTATTTGTAATAACTGTTCAATCAAAACGTCATATAAAACTATAACGAACCGTTTTTCAGATTTGTTAAATTCTCCATCCAAAATGAAAGTACACATGTATACACGGATACATTAGTTTGGAGTATTTTCATTGGACAGGTCGTGTGAAAACCTTAGACCAATAAACTATATAAAAATATAAAATAAAATAAAATTGCAACATTGAAAAGACTATAATGTAACCAAATACAAGCGCATACGACAACCCATTATTGTATCATAGTTTGGGGACCTTTCTGTTGAAAAAGTGTTTCAGTTAAATCGTAAACATATACATGCACAGTGCGATAACTGGAGTGCAGGTATCAGTTACCCGCACTCCAGAGCATGCCCGTTGATTGGCTCATTTTTGTTGGGGTATACTTATTGTGACGACTGAGAAAGGGAAAGCGGCAGAAATATCATATTCAGATGCTCGTTCATTGGTAACTTTTTTTCTGGGGTTTCATATTGTGACAACAGGGAACGTGTTTTATGTTTGACTATGATACAAAAGAGAAAGAACACCAAAACACTCGGCAATCTGATTTATACTCGGGGGGCTACGCCCCCTCGTACACGTGTTTCGGTGCTCTTTCTATTACATAACACATGGCTTTGTGGGTAACAGTAAAAATATCATCCCAAGTAAAATACTGTTACCCGAGGCGTAGCTGAAGAATACTGTTGCTCACAAACCCATGTGTTATTTATTTTATTACCCCGAACAAATACTGTCATGAACTGAAATTGTCAACTAAATCTAACTGTAACACGAATAAACCAAGAGTAACAATAACTAAACTGTGTTTTAAGTGCACTGTAGCGCCTACTTGCTAAGGTTTTTTTCCTTTTATTCAAGCAAGTGATGATATCTACCAGTCATAAACATACAAAAAGCTGTGTTTTATTTAGAAAACAAAACACTCAACCATTTATACAGTTATGATCTGTGAAATCTGATCCTTCTGTATCCAGAATTACTCTCTTTGCATGGTTTTTGACAAAGTGCATTTACAAAATCACGAAGATATCATATGTTCACCATATCTGTAACCGTATCTGTATCTTATAATAGACCTAATATCTTAAAATTCAGGCAGCTTGTCAAAAGTAATTCAGTCATACAACTTAAGAAAACATGTAAATTTATAACTACAATGTACATTGTTAAATTCTATACAGTGAAAATGGTTATATATATTGTAAAACAGTTGTACATGTATAATTAATTATTTGTGCAAGGTACTATCAATATTGTTATAATGAATATATAAGTATTGAAATACTGATGATACCTGAATTAATCAATGTCACGGTTCATATATTCACATTCCGTTCATTTCTTTTCAGTAATTTTCTTTTTTTATCAGCTATTACCTTACTATTTTATTTACAAATGTTACCGCATTCGCTTTACTGTGACCAACATAGCGTGACGATACCGGGAGTTTATTTACAAACATCACCGATCCGCCCACGCCTCTATACATATATAATCTGTTTCAAAATTGACCAATAATGTTAAACATTCTCCAACATATATTGACATCTACCCTAGATTCAAATAATAAAAATATCGATGGTACCTTTTTTCAGATGCTCAGTTGTAATGTCACTTATTATATTATATATTGATGTACCATGTATCGTACACTCTTGTGTTGCTATATGTAACTAGAGTTAATAAAGTGTTGTTCTGTTCTGTTACATTTCACTGATTAAATTTGTTAAATAATCCTTTGTTGCATGCTTTAATCGTCTGCATGTTCCAGTTTGACATTTCGTTGAAAACGGATGTTTACATTTTGATTATTCAACGAAAACTTATTTTATACGCGAAAAGCACTCCCAATCTCATACGCAGTGATCTCCCCTTATCAGTACAGAGATCTCTGCCATCACAAACATTGAAATATCAATATTTGCCTATTTGGATATTTATATTTTTTAGCTTTTTAATTTATTTTTCATTATTTTGTATACTTTTGATAACTTTTTGATAAAATATAACGGACGTAGGTACAAAAAGTTAAAAATAAAACAGAAAGAGAAAAATGACGTTAGATTTTCTATGTAACGGTCGATATTTACATTTGAATATCGACGAACGTTACGTCATGTGACTTTCATCATCATGTGACGTCTGTGAAGGCAGTGATTACAATTCTGCCAAGGGAGGTAATCAGTGTGAGGAGTTTGAAGCACTCCTGGCCCGGCTTTCACTAACGTTCTCAAACTGAGAAAAATCTCAATCTCAATTTCTGATTTGAGAAAAATCTCAAATTTGAGCTGAGATTTTGACTGTGAGAACGTTAGTGAAAGCCGGGCCAGGGTGCAAACAACTTAATTTTATGGGTGTCATAGTTACTCCGGTGATGCGCTATTGGAGGGTGAACTTCGAAAATAAGAATGAATCGAGAAAAAAATGGCGGCCATTTTATTTCATTTTATTTAGAATTCAAATTCAAAACTTTATTGTCAGAGTCACAGTTTACAATATGTAAAAACATGTGAACATATACAATCATCAAGTTAGAAGCAGTAGTACACGTAACAAAACATATAATCTTGTCAAAAACATTTTACAAAACTGATGATTTAGGTATGGAGGGGAAGTGATTGAACTACATTTTTTAATTTTAAAAAAGTAAAGCAGATTAACAGGTTGTAACACGAACACAAATACTAACAACAGAGAAAGAAACAATGTTAAAACGGATTTCTTAAGCTAACACATATAATGAATATAAGTTTATACTTGTATACATATGTTAAAAAAAACAGTAAAGAACGAGGGCACACTTTATAAGATTTATAAGATGCGCTTATGATTTTAAATAATGACGGCATAAAAAAGGGAATGATTGCCGAATACTTGACGTCAATAAATCAAAATAAGCAAGGCCTTCCCACTATATCTACGTATTTTATGCAGAACGTCTTTTATCACTCTCTATATGGATACTATGTTATTCAAGCTCATCTCGTGAAAATGTGTCTGTTTCGGATAATAGTTTTTATTATAGAATGATACACAAAAGAATAAATTATAGATTGCTTTATGAAAGTGATGCGTAATTATGTTGCTAATTTATTATATTATGCACATATGGATCTCTTCAGCACATATGGAGCTCAAATGCAATTTTGAGCAGCTTATCCCTTCCTTTGTAGCCAAATCTCAACAAATGTATAAATCAGGAGTTGTCTGAATGTTAAGCATCGGTCTGTAGTGAGATTTCGTAAAATCTCTGTTTTTTGAGTCCGTTGAGTGACATTTTCTTCATCCACATTGCATGTTTTGGACACACCAGAACCCACCACGGAAAGAATATCTCGATGAAGACTGCATAGAAATCCAAAACAAAAATGGGTTATATAGAGGAGAGTCAGGAGGGTAGAATCATGCACATTTCGATTTTCTTAAAAAAAGGATTGAATTTTATATAAATGTTTAAAAAGATGAACACTTACCCTGCGATTGATCTATTTTTACATTCACATCTGGTGTTATGCTTCACATCTGCTTCACATATAATTTTTACCGATGCTCATTTTTGAGATACATATGGGGTACCAACTCCGTGCTAACGGGATTTGCAGCCGAGCGAGCGAGACAAGCGAACTTGAAACACGATGAAAGGTAACCTACTTTATTATAAGATGTAAAAACATAAATATTTTTATTTGGATAGTAACGTAGTTTAATATGTAGTAGGAAACCCTTTGTTTAAACGCGAATTTAAACATTTTTCATTATTCAGATTTAAAGATAGAAATTTTTTAGCTAAACTTTTTCATGATATGCTGAATAAAATGACATAGATTATAGAGACGTGTTAAATCGTTACAGGTCATTAACTCTTTACATTTCAGTATATTTGGGTGATGGAATAGATGGCGTGGAATGTACTTAATATGTCTATCCTCATTAAAATATGGACATTTTAAAAGTTAATGCAGTTCACCACCGATTTCCTGGAGCGAACACAGATTGCAAATGCGCTGCTCGTGGACAACATAAAACTGTCTCCAGCGCCCTACCTCAACATGAAGCTTATGGTTCCCTGTTCTGAAGAGGAAGAGGCTAGTCCTTAAAGTAAACGGTAATGACAAGTAATTGTTGTGCCCCCACTATAGGGGGGCATT